TGTACTTCGTCGATCTGCCTGTTCTGCTCCCCACTCTGTCTCTGGTGAAGCCTCTCGCTGCCCCTGAACCTCTGACCTGTACCCTAGTTCTGTATGCACAAATAAATAAATCTTTAAAAAAAAAATCCTAAAATTACTAAACACAAGACCAAGAGCTCATTTTTCATGTAATAGTAACCTAGCTACAAAGCAGGGACACTTTGTCTTGATAACTGACTACCTGCAAAACAAAACAAAACACCAAGAAGACACACAGAACATAAAGGCAGTAAAAGTTATGGGAACCAATCTAAAGTAAGGAAAGACCTGACAAGAGAAAGAAACTAGCATCCAAAGTATAAAAAGACTTATCTGTGGTCTTATTTATGGCCAACATTTCAGAGAGCAAGAGGAATACAGACTACTTAAAAGATTTCAAAGAATGCTTATCAACTGTTGTCCATTTCCTTTAAGGCCAACTATTGTGAGTGAAACTAAGGAATTTGTGCATGAAACTTCTTCCTGACAACCAAAACTAAACACACTCAACTACTTTATAAAATCATTTTATCTGCATGTCTAGCAAATTCTGTTAAAGAAAGAAAGAATGGCTTAAACTAGGGCTCTCACAGACCTAGATTTGATAAATTCCCTCTGAGGATTCAAAATTACACAAATACAAACACAATATCAATACTTACAGAGCATATTCAGGCATAGATAACTTGCTCACATTAAATACTTCCTTATCCTTCATCAGGTACACAGAACGTATATATGAAACAAAGCACTGTAAAAATAAGAGGTTTATATGTTTGACATAGGTAGTCAGAAATGGAAAGTAAACAGAGAGAAAGTTAATCAAAATAGTGAAAAACCTCAGGCTAGTTGAGCAACTCTTTATTCCAACCCCCACCAAAACAAAAACAAACCAAAAAACCACATTTTTAGAATTACAATATTCAAAAACTTTAAATTTGGTTTGCAATTCAGCATAGAGTATCACCTCCTTAAAAAAGCTATTCTAGGCCCTCCCTGGTGGTGCAGCGGGTTAAGCACAGCACTGAGAAGCTTTAAAGCTACTTCCGCATGAGTTCGATCCCTGCCTGCCCTGGAGGAGATCCACATGGCGAGGCAGACCTCTCCTGACCCGCCTGCCGCTCCCCTCAGCAGTGTACTTCGTTGATCTGCCTGTTCTGCTCCCCGCTCTGTCTCTGGTGAATCCTCTTACCCTCTGCATCTCTGGCCTGTACCCCAATTCTATATGAAGAAATAAATCTTTAAAATAAAAAAAAAAAGCTATTCTAGGGGCCCTCCCTGGTGGTGTAGTGGGTTAAAGTGCAACACTAAGAAGCTAAAGCCACTTCAGCATGAGTTCAATCCCCACCCTAGAGGTGATCCACATGGCATGGCAGTCTTCTCCTAACCCACCTGCTACTCCCCTCTACAGTGTACTTCACTGATCTGCCTATTCTGCTCCACACTGTCTCTGGTGAATCCTCTCACTGCCCCTGCACTTCTGGCCTGCACCCTAGTTCTGTATGCATAAATAAATGAATAAATCTTTTTTTTTTTTTAAAGCTATTCTAGGGCTCTCCCTGGTGGTGCAATGGATTAAAACACTGCATTATGAAGCTCTCCCTCCAAAGCCACTGCAGCAAGAGTTGGATCCTCAGCCAGGGAGCTGACCCACATGGTATGGCTGACCTCTTCTGACCTGCCCACTGCTCCCCTCAGCAGTGTGCTTCATCCATCTGCCTGTTCTGCTCTCCACTCTTGTCTCTGGTGAGTCCTTTCACCCATCATACCTGTACCCCAGTTCTGTAAGCATAAATAAGTAAATGGGAAAACACAGGGTTTAGAATAATGCAGATAAGGTCAGTCTGTATCTTACAAGCTGAGCAAGTTACTTGTTTCTCTAGCTAGTAAAGAGAGAGTGTAAGAATTTCTATTAAGTGTTAAATAAGAATAAACTAAAGTAAAATAAAACACATGTAGACTACCTAGCATATCTTCTAGAATACAGTGAATGCCAGTAAATACTAGAGGTTAAAAATTATTTTTAGTAGCCAAATGATAATTTTTCCAATAATAAAATCTTACCATATTTAATTAAGTGAACCTTAATTTAAAATCATGACAAGAAAAGATTACACTTAGAGCTTTCCTTTTCTATTATAATCTAAAGTAATTCATCATCATCATCATTTCAACTAATTGTCATCAACTTTTAATATAGTCGTTCTGTTTGTTTTTTAGAAAAACAAACCACCACCACCTACCTTTATGCCAACTATACAAACCAAAATTTAAACAGGGTCCTAATTCTCAGTCAGTTTGTAAAATAATCAGACAACAAAAATGATGAAACACATAGAAGTGAATGTTTACTATACTTTGTATATTTAATGCCCATTTTCCATAGTTCCTAAACTTCACACACTTTCTCTAACTTTACACTAATGCTTTCTTCATACCACTCCACATCTCCAGAGGTATCAAAAACCATGCATGACTCCATCTCAAAAATAATTTTCCCCCTTCAATTGTACACAAGAAATCATCCCAGTTGCTTATCATTTTGTTCTATCCAGATTATAATCAAAAACTTGAAAATTACTTTTATGAAACTAGATAGCTTGCTGCTGCTGGCAACACAGTTAGCCATTCTGCTAAACCATGCGTGACACCCAATAAATTACATCATTTATTTCAATGTGCTGTCCTATAATCTTTGTCTGGGAAATTCATTTGTTGTATTCACAGGCCAGCATAACATTCTTCCAATATTTCATATTTCCTGATTAATGATCTCATGACCTCCCAGCTATCCAGTTAAGTCATGACATAAGAATCAAGTCGATTTTTAAATGTACATACTATTTCCAAAACTTCTGAGATAAAACTCCTAGCTTGAAGTATGTCTGCTAGCCACAACACACATGCAAATGCTTGCATGCCCAAATACATGCTTGAAAAATTCAAAAAGAAAAAAATTACCAATTTGTTTAAAGTTCCTTTTCATTAGATTTCAGGTGAAGTGAGCTTATATAAGTACAATTTTGCAATTTTAATAGCTCACTAATTAGTCATCTTCTATTTTAAATATAATTTCTCCTGATGTAACATATGACAGTTCTGAAAAAAAAAAATTAGATCTGGATTTGAATCTCAAGTGCCACTTAATGGTCATGTGTCCCTGGAAAACTTTAAATTTTCTTGAAGTACTACATACTCTTCTATCATACAAAGTAATAATCACCTACCTCATGAGTTGCAGAAGATTAAATAACAACTCAGACTGTCATGGACTAAAGTCATGGGCTAAAAGCCAAGTACGCAGAGTAAGCACTCAAATTTTAGCTTTCATCCTAAAGGCTGAGGATATCCACTTCAAAAGCACAACATAACTGCCTAGATATTGACTTTTTCTGCTCAGACACTTCTGTTTACTCTGGAAGCCCTCTCACTAACTCATTCTTCCTTTTCCTTCCTTCAATGGAAATTCAATCTGTCCTCTGAGACCCCCTCTAAGTCACTGCTGATGTCTATGGGAGACACAATGTAGACAGATTTATTTTTTACTTTTTTACCACAATATAAATAAAAGTAATGAAAATAAAGTATTTTGGATCTTAGTAGGGACCCAAATATCTGTCCAGTCAAAAGCTAAGATAGCTCTAAACGCAATCCAAAAAAATTCCACATCTTCCTCCTCCAAAAAAAAAAAAAAAATCTAAAGAAAAGTTTACCCAAAAGTAACACCTTTGTGTATTTGCTAATCAAGAGAATTTCTAAGTGCAGGAAAGCTATTTGGAAACATTACATCATATAGCTCAAAATCTCATCCCTAAAGACAATTTACAGAAGGGTCTATGCTTTCTAGAAATTTAATCTAAAAGAAGTTCTACAAGTAAAATAGTTAACAGACTTTATTGAAACAATCAAAGGTCGTTAACTTTATCAGGTATAGTAGAAAACAGATCACGGTGCACTCAATATTTAGTTTTCCATATGTCTAACATTATGGATGACAGATGTTTCCAGTAATATATGTCATGTATACTATAAAACATATAATTTTAAATGTTAAGTAAAATAAACTTACCTGAAAATTATACTACTTCAATATTTGAAGCACAACCATGGTACTGAGAAGTAGCAGACAATGATAAAATTTAACTGTACTATATGCTGCATTTCAATAAAGGCATCCAATTGAAAAAAAATGACTTACCCTTTGAGCTCGTTCTTTTAAATCTTGATCTTGAGCTAAAAATGATTCCAATTTTTTCTGGATGTCTATAAGTTTTTCTGGATTAATTCTTTATAACAAGAAGATAAAGGTTAAAAGTAAGACATCTCAGTTTCAGACACTGAAAATAGTACACAGCATTTTCCTGTTTTCTCAGTGTTATTTTTAAATCTATAACATCATTTCTCATCTATGAGCCAAATTAGACTGAAATCACACAAGACATAAATTTGACTCTTGCATATGAATAATGCAGGGAAAGAAATGAAAGAGCAGACATTTTCTCTAAACACTGCATGCTGAGTGAGTGAAAGATATTTAGGTTAACATGACAATTAGCATTGGTTTCTGCCTAAGTCTAAAAATGTATAAAGTAGCGCTCACGGGAGATGGATCATAATGAAATTTAATGTCATTTTTATAGGTATTTTCATTTGCAGTTAAATATTAAAAAAAATTCAAATAACAAATAGCCAAGGGATATAAATACTGTTTTCTTTATCTAAAAGAATAGACATAATAGAACAGAATTGCTACATAACTCTGCCCAGGTAGGCTGTATGCAAGAATGAAATTCTTATAGGGCTCCCGGTTTCACAAAAGAAATCCCATTTGTTCCCCTGATTCCAGATTCAACCCTTTGTTTCTGCAAAGCTAGGGTAGTGATATATGGTAGATGGTGATGGATAGGATATTTGTTTTTGTTTTTCAGCTACAGAAAACTTTAAAATACTAAGGTAGTCAACTTTCAGTCAACCTCACCAACAGTCAATTCATGGCCATTCTTTTTCATCTAAACCCCTACCCCTTCCTCCCAATGATCTTCAGAAAAATCAAGTCAAGGTGTTTCGAGCATCCCAATACAAGAGAGACCCTCATCAATTCTGCTAAGACTCAACCTAAATATTCTCAATGACAGGAAAGCATAATTATCAAGTGGACAGACAACCGTACAAATAATTTCATCCAAGAGGTTTAATCCTTTCTTAACAAGTTCTTGTTTCATCTTACTTTCTCCACTACATGTCTTCTGGAAAAGCTTTAAAAAATTAACAAACCACACAGCGAAATAGATCAGAGAAACAGGGATTTAGAAGTACATAAATAAGCATTATAATGTCATGGCTTAAATAAGTTGCATGGCTATGCAACTTAAAAAAAAAAATCACAACCTAATTAAAAAATAGGCAGAGAATCTAAATAGAGATTTCATAATTCAAAAGCAAAAACTAAAGCAAAAACTCAGTATCTAGACAATATATCTAGACATAAAGATGGCCAACAGACACATAAGATGCTCACCATCACTTATCATCTGGGAAATGCAAATCAAAACAATGAGACATCATCTCATATCTGTGAGTTGGCTATTTTCTAAAAAAGACTACAAAAAACAAGTGTTGGTGAGGATGTGGTGCCTCCTCGTACACTGCTGGTAAGATTGTAAATTGTTGCGACCACTATGGAAAACAGGATGGCCGTTTCTCAAAAAAATGTAGAAATACCACATGGTCCAGCTATTCCATTTCTGGGATCTAGCTGAAGAATACAAACACTCACTTGAAAATATCTTCCTGACAGTATGGGTGGAATCTGAGAGGATTAAACTAAGTAAACTGAGTCTGGTGAAGAAAGATAAATACTGTTCGACATAATTTACTTGTGGACGAAGACAAAAAATAATTAAAAAAAAAAAATGCTTAGGCTTACAATAATCAGGGATAACCAAAGCAGCAAGGCAAATAGATGGTGGGCAAAGGGCTAACAACCGTCAACTACATAGCAACGGACAGAAGCTGCACTGTGGCAGTGGTCATACTGCAATACATCCAAATGCCAAAGTCAAAAGCTGTGCACCTGAGCCTGAAGCAGTATTATAAACCAATGCAATCTTGATTGGACAAGATAAAAATCAGAAAATTAAATTTTTTTTTAATGATGATACCCTCACTTTACTAAGAAAGCCAATACCAAGTAGTTCTTACTTGATTTCCTTCACAGGTACTTTCTTCTGAAGAAGCTGCTGTACCATCCCTTTTTCTTCTGAGGGAAGCAAAATTAATAAAGCTTCACCACCCTCTTTGTACCTAAACAAACAAACAAAAACCTCAGCAACCCCTTCTGCAGTTTACATTTTCAATTTGATAACAGGTAACACAGAAACAAGCTCACCTATCAAGTAAATATTAGTAGCATTTTTTGCTTCTATGGCTAAAAACTAGGATTCTGAACACTTTACATGAAATTTTTATCACTAATATTAATTCCTAGTAACTTGTAGGCTAAACCATAGTAGAAGAGCTAGAGCCTAACAAAATAATCTCTTGAACAGCTTTATACCTATTGTAGAGTTTCATATTCAAGCCACTGAGGTTTTATAATAACATCAGTCATTTAATAAACATGGGCCCAATACATGAAGGAAAACAAGTCATTCAGTTATAAGAAATGAATCTCCACTCTGGTGAAAAGCTTGCTCCCAATGCATGCACTTCTCTCCCCTTCTCTCACCTAATAGACTTTTACGCCACACTACCTCATTAGAAGTTTGTACCTAAGAGAACAGCCACACACCCAAAATCAGGCTTCTTGTGCTACCTGGTACAGACATCCCCAACACCTCAGGGTCAGCCATTATTGGTGAACAGTAAGAGAACAGAACTGGCTAGTTGTGGAAATTTTTTTAAGGAATATAGAGAAAAGTGCTCTAAAAATAGCTCAATTCAGTGCTATTAAATATGAGAAACAAAATTTCTATGCTTAACCAAATATACTACTTACTGAGACATTCTGTGCCATGCCTAGATTGGGAAGACACAGGATGTACATGATTCATGCCCCATCTTGAGTGACCTAACAATCCAGCTAACTAGGTAAGACAAATGCATGATTCAAGAGAACAGCCCCAAATGGTAAATCAGTACCTGCCAAAGGCCAACAACCACAGCAATAAATACTGGACCAAGAGGTGAGAGACAGCAAAGGGTACCAGCCAGAGAGAAAGAAAGGGTCATAGCAGGTGGAATTTGATGTGAGCCTTGAAAATGGTTAGAAAGGAAAAAGCTAAGTGCTCCTGAGGGGTAAAGGATGCATGACTAAAAGAATGGAAACCAAAAAATGCAAGGCAAACTTGAGAGCACAAACACAAGAGGAGTAACTCCAAAGAAGTCAGCACACATAAGGAAACAGCAGGAAGGATCACTGGGCAGATCTGCCAGGAGGACTGAGGATGCTATGACAGAGAGATTCAGTACAACTTCTGCAGGCAGAATTAAATCACTAAATACTGGAAGGAAAGACTACCTTTGCTGACTTACTGTAGTGAACTCTGAAAACAGAAGGACATTTTCTACCTAACTTGTTAACATCAAATCTCCATTCCTACACGTAACATAAAATTCTAATGTAGTGCCTTTACACAAGTGTGTGTGTCTCTCCGTGTACATAGACCCATAGAAAAGTATTACAAAAATATTGTTAGGTGTTAAAAGAGCTCTTCAAATAAATGTAAGAGAATATGAAGGATCACCAGTTGCCAGGCACTGAAACCGAGTGATAAAGCACACGTGCTTCTGTCTGTCAGAGCCGACTCACTCTTAGGACAGATGCTGAAACCAGCACTACCCAAGGAGATAAAAGAACATATAGAGAGCTCTAATAATGTAAGTCAGGATTCAAGAAAATGACACTTAAGAGCTAAGACCTAAAATACAAAGGAATAAGTTAAATATTAAGGGAAAACCAAGTTTCCCAGGATAAAAGGGGTAGTGTTCTCGTCACATATTTATTTTCTCTCTCTCTAGGTTTTCTAAAGGCAGGTGTGTTAAACAGTAGAAAAGAGTAAAGCTGAACAGACATTTGCTACTTTTCTAAATACTAGTTTCATAACTGAAAAACAATACCTTTCTTGCTGTATTTTAACAAAACTCCCAAAGGTTCATCTTCATTTATCAAGAAGAAATAAGAATTTAAAGTAATCTCTAAGCAGTGTTGGACTAAACCTTCTGTGAAGACCGAAGTCATCAATGTGAAACCATTAGGTGACACCTTGAGCAGAGAACACATCAGAGTGACATGCACTGGGGACAGAGACCAGTGAGCACTGACCGCAAGGCAGCACACTTTTCAAAGAGTCAAAGAGCACCCAAGACCGCCAGACTTAAATAAAGTCAGTTATCTTCAGAAGTAAAAAGGCCTATTTCAAGTGACCCAAAAAAGGACAATTAGGAAGAAGAAATCAGTAGCTGAAAAATAACTAATACTTTTAAGATTCTATTTCCAAACTCAGAGCTAGAAAGATGAAATAAACTCGGCCCCATTGTGACACAGGGGTCAGAACGCTCTTGAGGCTATTTTAAAACGCATCCTCTGAAGGATCTGAGTTTCAGACAGACATGTGGACAGTATGTGTACGTCTCGTGTGCCATTCAGTGAGCACTGGGACCAATAGGTGATGACAAAAGTCATGCAGGGTCAATTGAAACCACCCCCCACCCAAAAAAAAAAAAAAATTATAGCTAACAGAATATAAATGTAAGGCTACACAGGTTATGACAGAATGCAGCAGTGGAATTTAGAGATTCCCAGAGAAAAATGAACAAAGACAGTCCAAAGTTAAATCTCTTAAAGTAAGCATTTATTAAAAAACCTCACTGGCCACTCTACCTACTTTACATCAGACATATCTTTTTCCCAGAAATAATGTGAAGCAAAAATTATTTCCCACATACTAACACCCAAAAATTTCCAGTAAGCTTTTCATCTAAAAAGAAAACATACACACATTTCACTTCTTTTTAATGCCTACAAGGATAGTCTATGCGTTAGTTTTTAGATTTCAAAAGCAATATTCAAGGTCCAAAGCTAAGTATATGTATAAAGAGAAATAGGTGTTCTTTATAAGACCTGTATCTTAAAGCTCCATATATTTAAACAAATTATTTTAAGAGACATTCTAGACACCATATAAAAAGCCCTGCAACTGAAACACAACAAAAATCTCATCTTCACTATCAGTATAAACACATTACATTATATATCTCTTAAAAATTTATAAAGAGCTTCATTTTACATTAACTAGCCAACCTTAAAAACAAGGAAGCAAATAAAAAGTGAAGTTTCTGAAAGGCCAAGGTGTTGGCCTTAAAAAAAAAAACACAACTAATTGTTATGTATCAGACTTCAAACTTCCAATTCAGGAATTTTTTTTTTCAAGCTATTACTGTTACCAGTAAGCTCACCTCTATACCCTCCAGCTCACCAATATTCCCCAGGAAAGCAGGAGCTCCACATCACTGGTGCTGGAATCCCACAGGTAATTATTTCATTAAAATATCCTTGAACTTTCAAAACATGGTTGAGAAAGGGGAGGGGTGGGGGTGGAATGCCCAGTCATTTGGCAGTTTGCCATCCACCCAAGAACCATTAATCCTTGACTATTCAAATTCAGATTCCCTAACTCAAGTCCCCATCTAACTGAGTCTTTAGTCCCTATGTTATAGGGCACCTCAATTCAGAGAGAGGCACCCCTGAAGCCCCAAAACCTGCCTGCTCTAAGTGGGTTCTGCCATCCGCCGCAACAAGACAAAACATATAAAGCTTTAATGAAAAGTGACTTTAATACAGTGAATATACAATATGGAACACAAAGAATGTAACTTCTAAATCAAACACCTGAAGTTAACCATCCCCTCGTGGGCAAAAGTCAACCCAAAAGGGATTGGCCCAAAGCAAGGCCTGAAAGCCTGCCACAAGACTAAAGCACCTTCTGGCCGGGACCCATGGAAAAGGGTCAGAAATGGCCAGACAAATCTGAGAGGAAAAGAGCAAAATCAAAATCAATATAAACACTGCCATAGTCACCTCCCTACAGGTATCTCACCCACATCTGCCTTAACCAGTCCAGGGTCAGGAAACAAGCCCGGTTTCTTCATCACATGTTTGCTGCTCCATGTGGCTTCCTTAGGTCTCCTTCTCCATCTGCCTTCCTTCTCTTCTTCTCTCTCCTTTTTCTCTGCTCAGTTCCACCCTCCTTCTGGGTGGGGCAGGGAACCTGGAACTTCCCTTCTCCTAGGGACCACCCAGTTACACCTAGACACTAGTGCATTCATCCCCCAAGGACTCCTAGAGCCTGAGGTGGAAGCGTTTATAGGTACCTGCCACCCTCAGTTCTCCCAGTCTGGTATGCCATGTTACAAGTCATCTTATAATAGATAAAATAATTCCATTTAGAATTATTTCATTTTTTTGGAATTTAAACAATTATATATGCAAACATGCATAAGATCGCTTCTCAGCCTTTTGGCTAAGATCAAGTGTAGCAAACATACATAATAAATTCTCTAAGTGGTAGGATTTGGGTAGTCATTTTTTAAAATTTACATAATGAATGAGCATTATTTTTGTAATAAAAACAAGTGGTTAAAAAAAAAAACAAACCCTTACCACAAAAAACAAGTAAGAAATCTGCTCTCTAAATCTAAATCTTTTGATTCACTTACTTTATTTAACACTATCTTAGTGCTACCAATATTAGTGTATTTTCTTGACTGTCAAATTTGAGGGCATTGTTAATTTACCTTTCATAACTAACATACATTTCTACCTAAGCACTTGGTAAGTGAATGAAGGCAGATGAAGTATTGTTGACACAACTTCTAGTGCAACACTGGATCTGGAGTCAAAAAGAACTGATTTCACACCCCGACTCTACCATTCACTGGCTTTATAACAATAGATAAAGAGCAACTTTATTACTATATACTGCTTTCTTATTTATCAATTAAACAATCTAAATGCAAAAAAAAAATTACCTATGACTAATAGTCATCACAGTCCAAATATAGTCAAGAGGTAAAGAAATGTAGAAATCATGGGTCACACGCTGTATTACTGTATTAAAGTCCCTTTTCATTAAAGTTTTATATGTTTTGTCTTGTTGCAGCGGATGGCAGAACCCACTTAGAGCAGGCAGGTTTTAGGGCTTCAGGGGTGTCCTTCTCCCCCTGTCCTGGAACAGATTTGCTACCCTGTAACAGTACCTGTGGCACCCAGCTCCAAGAGTCCCTGCCGCCCTAGAGAACATAAG